GCCCCCCCCCTTCACCGCTGCCCCAGCTGGTTTGCTTTTTCAGTTTTATCATTGCTCTTTTAATCTCGTCACAAATTATTTATTTTGGAAAAATTACCGTTTCGAATGCTACTTTGGCGAATACGCGTATACTTTAGAAAAGTTCTAGTCAGACCTTAAATTTTATAGAAACTGATAGCGTTCGCTTTTATTGTTGCTAGTAGGCGCTGACCCAGGGACTTTGGATATTTTGGTGGGACCCTGCAGATCACTCGGAAAGCTTCGTTGGAAGGCCATCCAATGTCCGGAATCGACCGTGTGCGCCAGAATAGAGCTGTTTATTCTCTTGCTTTCACCTTTTCTCAGCCTTGCCGGGAGGAGTTTCTGTATTCTTTTGGATAGGCGCCAGCTCGTGCAACCAATACGACCTCCACCGGCGCAAGTGAAAGAGTAGATGCAGATTTAGATTGTATAAGCTGGTAACCCATCCCTGTCTTCACCATCTAAGATTGGGTTGTTTGAGAATAATACCCGAACTGAAGCTGCTGGGAATGTTCTTGACACGGCTTGGTCAAGGCTCTTTTCAGCAGTTCACTTGCTGCTTCCGCTCGAAAGGGGAGTTTGAGGAATAGTGTTTTCCTTTCTACAGTAAGTGCGGTGGATTTTTTATTTGTTTCTCAGCCATATTCCTTGTAATAAATTCTCAAGATACCCGTTCTCACGGACTTCTTCTCAATACTATCTGCTGAGGAAATTTTATTAGCCCTTCGCCCTACACAGCGAACTAGATTTCGCTTCTGTTGGAGGGGTACGAAACTATTAAAATTCATGTACTGTCCAGACCAAGTTTTCTTTTGATACACGCTCCTTTAGACGCTGCCGTCAGGTCTGCGACTTAGGAAAACGTCTAAGAAGGGAAGCGAATCTGCCTTTTCCACCTCCAGCGTTTATTTGTGTAGCTGGCTGTCAAAGAGGAACTGCACGTTTAATGTGCATTTAAGTAATAGCTCCTTTAGTGCATTTGTCGGTATTCCTATTTCCAGCTGATTTGTCACTTAGTATTCGCTAATTTAATTAACTGCCTTGGTAACCGGAATATCACGTCTAGAGAGAGCATCCTCGTGCCGCATAGGTTCACGTCTTTGATGTCGTTGATTAGCTGAAAGGTGTATTGATAGCTACGGGGTGCCAGCAGATGCCGTAATGGTTTGCGTTTTTCTGCTAACCACTTCGCCATATCATAATACGGCGAATTGCGCATGTCCACCATCCGACGAACTGGTAGGCCATTCTTATGGATTTTTGGTAGACCATACAAAGAAGAAATGCGGGTACCTACTGGTCGGACGTTTTCGAGGTCGCGGTCGCTTATGAAACCTGCCATGTGGAGTCTTTTTTAAGCAGTCAGTCAGATGTGTCTGCCACATCCGTTGCAAATTTCAGATTATAAATTGACGAACATGTTTGTTTTCGATAAATTCGCGTCAGCCCTTTTCATTCATATGATAATTAAATAAATAGACT